TGCCATTTCACAGAGAACATGGAAGTCCCGTATCTGGAGAGAAGAACCCGCAAAAGGCACCAGTGAAGGGAGAGAGTAAGCCATCTTGGCAGCAGTACGTGGGAAAGGGATCTGGGGGTCTTTCCAACCACAAGGTAATATGAGGCAACCGGATGATGCAGCTGCAGAAGAGGGAGATGCAGTCCTGGGGTATGTTAGGAGCAGAGGGCAGAGAGCCAGATCAGGGGAAGCCGTTCTTCCCTTCGACTCTGGCCAGTTGGAGACCCCATTTGGAGTTCTGCATCCAGTTTGACCGCAACAGACTGCAGTGAGTTCAGAGGAGGGTCTGGAAACCAAGCCCTAAGAATAATAGTGAGAGAAACTGCACCCGTTTAGCCCGCAGAAAGGAAGACTGAGGGAGATATGACAGTAGTCTTCAAGTACCTGTGTGATAAAATATCAGTATTTTTCCCTTCAACAATGAAAATAAAACAAGGGAAGGAAATTGACAGAAGAGCAACAATGGGCTGGGAAATGGCTTAGCTGAAACTGAAGTTAGCCCAAGATTTGAAAGGAGAATGTGCATCACAGGATTGAGTCAGGCAACTCCTACTGCTTTAATTTTTAACTCTTTTGCAGATATAATGCCCCCCAAAGCTGACCACAACAAAGATGACTAAGTGGGTGAGAATCACTGCAGGCCAACTGCTTGGGCAATGACTAGAAAAATAACCCTAGCAAATTGTAGCAAAAATAAAATTGGGTTATGAAACTGGAGATTAGACCCAAATGCACATCTGCTTCATTTCAGTGCAGGGAGATGAGCACAGGGTTTTATAATTAATTGAAAGTTCAGCGGAAGAGGAAAGAATGGGAACCTACTGTGGTCTCAGGTGACCCATTTAAATAATATTGAGATGAGTGGCAGGCTGGTCACCAGGCTGAAAAGGGCACTGCCCTCTTCCCAGCTGTAGGATGAGTAATCTTTTAAGTGCAGGAAGGGCCAGCTCGTGACATTCCTGCCTTTGGATGTTTGCTGTCTGCACCCTGCCTTATTTTAACTGTTGACTAACTGATGAAAGAGGTCCATCCGGGATCCTACAGTTCCACCCTTGTCATCTCAAAATCCAAGGCTGGTTCCGCAATGGCCAAACATAAAAACATAAACGGGAAGTGGCCCATTTAGAACCCCCAGACCATGTTGTGGGTGCCCTTCCCAAATAGTTGCTACAGGACAATTGTCTGGCTGCCACAGTGGGTCAAGAAACCCATCTGGCTAGAAAACAATACAGACCTGAAGACGGTCTTCGCTGTATTCACATGACATAATAAATCTGGGGACATAATTAACTCATCTTCTAATTTAACCCAGACACGCACACAACAGAACATCCATCAAGATTAATTCTGTCCATGCCTATAATTTTCTGCCCACGCAAGCCCTAGAGTTGTATCAGACCATCAGATCATAACTGGATTATGTGGTCCCTCATCAGTCCGGATTCAGCACCAAAAGTGCATTGGGCACCCCTGGGATGGGGAAGGGTGGCCTTCCCCTCTTGCTTGCTTTTTGATGCCATTGACCATGAAAGCTTTTGGACCGGCTGCAGAGCTTGGGAGTGGACGGTTGTCCTCCTTTTTGAGTGGCCAGTTCCAGTCTGGTAATGGACAGGAAGAGGTCAGTTATTCCTTGACAGAGTGCCACAGGGCTCCATCCTTCCCTACTATCGAATGTCTATATAAAGCAGTGTTTTTCAACCTTGGCAACTTTAAGATGTTGCCCAAGGTTGAGAAATAAGGACATAAAGGGCAAGGCCATACATTAGCATGGTCTGAG